TAAAGCTGTGGCCATCCTATGCTGGCAGGTCCCAGACTTTCCCTGTCTGCTCCATGTAGGCCCAGGCATGAGGCAGGGAGAGGAAGGAAGTTTGGGTCCTTCAGGCACCTGCCCTCCTACCTCACCACCCATCACACATCCCAGGTAGGGGATGGCTTCTTTAGCTGAACTGCCGCCTCCCAGCCTCTGCTTGTCAGGCTCCTCCCCTTACAAACAGAAAGAAGGGGCACAAGGAGATCTGGTCCAGTGCCCCCATTTCCGCTATCCACCCACACCCCACCCAAGCTCTGGGTACCTCCCCAGGCCCCCTTCCCTACCACAAAACCTCAAACATCACATCCCCTCTCTCCAAACTCCACCCTACCCAGGCAGAGCCAGCCACTCTTCCCCCAAAGTCTGTAGGCCCCTCTACAGATGGCACTGTCACCCATCTTACTTCAAAGGGTTTATTGAGACAAGTTTTCACATATAAGATAGGGGCAGAGGGTATGGAGCTTATAAACAGGAACCTGAAAGGGGGACCGAGGGCAGAGTGGAACCAAACAAAGAGTGAAATAAATAGAGGAAAAGAGTAGAGGGTGAGGAGACTGACCAAGACTATCACACAGTGATAACGTGGGTGGGGGCAGGCGCCATTAAAATCCCATTATTTATACAGATATACAGGGAGTTAAGGGGGCCCAGGGCACCCTATTCCACCCTCCACACCCCAGGGAGGGGCACCAGAAGGCCAGTTCTCCCCATACTCTATCCGGTGCGGGCTGGGAGGGCTGCCCTGGGAGGAGTGCTGGGCAGTTCCTGGCCTGGAAGCCACGGTTAGTGTCTGGAAAGCAGGGGAGGGGTGGAGGGCAGGGGGCCAGGGCTCAGCTCCGTGGCTCCAGCCTACCAAGGAAGGGTGTCTGGAATTCCTCCCAGCATTGCTCCCACCAGGTATGGGAGATGGGGAGGAGGGGGCAGGAGCTCAAAAGGAGAACCTGGCACCTTCTGGCATCTTGGAAAAAGTGATTCTCAAAAGCAGCTGGCCCTGGCTGTGCCGCCCTCCAGAAGGCAGCTCTGATACCAGGAGCAGGTGTCAGGGCATAGGGAGAAACTCCCAGAGACCACCTTCAAGGGGAATTCCTGAAAGGGGCTGATCCCAAGCTGGATGCTCAGGGAAGGGAGCTGTGCGGGATGGGGCTCCTGGGGAAAGGTCCATTAGCACCACCAGGCTCCATGCCAGCTGGGAAGAGGCCAGGCCTCTGCGCCTCTGAAGTGAGGCTGAGTGTCGCCTGCAGGAGACAGAAGGGAGGGGAGACTAGACCACAACCTCTAGGGTGCTGCTCCCTCAACCCCCTCCCCTGCATGTCAAGGGGTTACCTCAGCTATTCTCAGTGTCCCTGACTGGACTATGGGACCTAGTATAACCCAAAGGGCCAGCAGTGAGAACACAGGGGGTTTCTATCCCTTTTGTCCGAAACTAAAATGGGCACCAGGCCCTCACCTCAGCCCCACCTGCCTGGCCCCACTCCCCAGGCAGAGTGGGGCCAGGTGGGCATCATACGAAGACCTTGGCCAGGGCATCGGCACCAGCACTGGCAATAAGTGCCTTGCTGGGGTGGCAGGCGACGGCATGGATGGCCTCCTCATGCTTCTTGCGGTGGGCTGTGATCTCCTGCACACACGTTTTGTTGTCCAGGCTCCACAGACGCAGGGAACAGTCATGGCCTGCATAGTGTGGAAGAAGGGGCTATCACCGAGCTCCTTGCTCAGCTTCCTGGCCTTGTCCAAAGGCCATGGGTCAGGTAGGACTGAACCCTCTTCCCTACCATTCCTCTGCACAGTCATCCCCTGACACAGACCCAAAGGGAAATGCTTTTTTTTTTTTTTTTTTTGAAACAGTGTCATTATGTGGCCCTCTGTGACCTCAAACTCTTGGGCTTAAGTGATTCTCTTGCCTCAGCCTCCCACATAGCCAGGACCTGCCACAACACCTGGTTATTTTTTAATTGCAGTTGTCACTGTTGTTTGGCAGGCCTGGGCTGGATTCAAACCCACCAGCTCTGATGTATGTGGCTTGCGCCCTAGCTGCTGAGCTAAAGACGCCATCCAGGAAAATGCTTTTGTCCCATCCTGTCAACCGTCCATCAAGTCACCGAGTATTAGTGAACACCTGTAGGAGCAGTGAACAAAATAGGCAAATCTCCCTGCCCTATGGTGCTGTCAGCATGGGAGACAATAAGAAAATAGAAGCAAGCATGCCCATGACCAGTGTGAGGACAGGATGGCAGGTAGGAATGGAGGGAGGAGCCTTCCGGGCAGTGGGACAGCCATAGGGTCCAGAGGCAGGAGCACCTACAGGTTTGAGAATGACAGCAGGTGGATGTGACTACAGGGCTTAAGCAGGGGTAGGGAAAGGAGGGAAGAGGTGAAAGGAAGAGGGTGGGAGGAAGATCAGGCCTTGGGAAGACTCAGCACTCCCCACTGCCTTCACACTTCCCAGGATGGAATGCTTTCTATACTAAATCTCTGCACCTGGGTCAGCCCCTGTATCTCAGTGGTTAGGGCGCCAGCCACATACACTGGGGCTGGCGGGTTCAAACCCAGCCCAGGGCCTGCCAAACAATGACAACTACAACAAAAAAATAGCCAGGTGTTGTAGCAGGCACCTGTAGTCCCAGCTACTTGGGAGGCTGCGGCAAAAGAATCCCTTAAGCCCAAGAGTTTGAGGTTGCTGTGAGCTGTGACACCAAAGCACTCTACTGAGGGTGACATAATGTGACTCTGACTCAAATAAATAAATAAATAAATCTCTGCATCTGGCTGCATCTCACTGACCGTCCTGTTCCCTCACATGATAGCTGCTGCTACCAAGGGGCAGGTAGAGAACAAGGCCTAAGGCTGAGATGCCCATCCATGATTGCACAGTGACATGAGACAGAGCCGGCCATGATCACTCCCTACCCATCTCCCCCCTTTACCACCTCTGACCGCGTATCTATGTGATCTACACATACTTGGTCATTGACACTGGCACAGGGTCTCAGGGGGCCTGATGCCAGGCATCTCTGAAGCAGGCCTTGTCCTTCACCCCTAGGGAGCTCCAGCACCCTTCCATCTACCCACATCCTGCCTCATCCCCTCTAGGCACAGCCCCACAGTAACTGGGTCTCAGTGGCCCCAGCCAGGGAAAGCAGAGTAGGACTAAATGTTCAAAACCTCCATGGGGATTTCAGTAGCTAGACTTGGACTTTCATTTCCACAGTCCACTGGGCTATGACCAAGTTAAGAAACTTAGCCCTGAGTCTCAGGCCTCACATCTGTAAAATGGGGATAAAAGTACCTAGCACACAGGGTTGCTTAGAAAACTAAATGAGACACTATAGCCATGGCATCGCCTGAGGGCTCCAACCCTGCACTTCACTGCTGAGTCCTGTTATGTCACCCTGACCAAAGAGATTCCCGCCCAGACTAGCTTCCCTCAAGCCCCAGCCCCAAAAGCCCCCACCACTGCCTAGGGTCAATGCCTATGTCTCCTCTTCTCCCCAACCCTGCTGGGTACAGCATGCTGCATCCCATGCTGTGGGGAAAGGACAGCTAAGAGGGTCCCAACTTACTTCCGGACATCAGGAATACACCATTTGGGTCCACAGCTAGGCAGGTGACTGCATCCAGGTGGGCAACCATGGAGTGCACTGTTTTACCTGAAGAGAGAGGGGGTGGATGGCAGGTTCCCTTCCCAGTCTGGGCCACGCCCAGGAAGGTGAAGGAGCTGGAGATGCTGTGACAGCCTCCAATGGGGACACGTCTACTTCTGGGCCATCCTGCTCCAGGGGCTGGGCCTCACCTGTCCGATTGTCCAGGAAGCGGATGCCTCTGTCATCGTGGGCGGTGATGGTGAGGGGCTGGTTTGGATGACTCACTACTTGGTTAATCTGGGTTGGTCCTGGAAGGAAAAGTGGGGGAAAGGGAAGGGCATTAAGGGGGAAGAAAGGAAGACCAAGACAGAAGCAAGAGAGGAGCATGGCTGACTCTACCCTCTGCCCCAATGTCAAGGTGGGAGCCCCAAAGACTACCCCTTCCCAGGCCTCAGAGCTGCCTCTACAAAATGAGCCCTGGGCCCTATTTGCAGGGTTTGGAGAGGAAAGGGACATGAAAATATGCATCTGTTCTACCAAGAAGGCCAACAGGGCATCCATGATGCAGTCTTCCCTCGGCCCCCAAGAGCTGTGAGTGTGGGCAGGGCTGGGCCCTCACTGGACCTTATTTCCTTCTTGCCTCAGGGCCCCTGAGGGCACAGGGGAGTCATCTTGATCTGACTATCAAGCAGGTCGCAAAAGCACCAGGAAGAATTGAGACCTTGTAAGTATGCAGACCGTAGTTCCCTGGCTTGGCCCAGCCACAGGCCCCAGGGGCTCCCTTACCGCTGCTCCCCCGAGACTCCAGCGTGAGGAGGGCACTGCCAGCCTCTAGGTCATACAGGACAGTGTCGCCAGAGCGGAAGGAGGCCACAATGTGGGCAGGCTCGGTGCTGGTGAAGGCCACTGAGGTGGGGATCCCATGCTCTGAAGGAGAGAAGGCTGCCTGATGGCCCAGTCCTGGGGTGGAGGGGGCTGTGGGATGGGAGGCCTGGGCCTTCATCAGGAGGCACCCTGATGGCTTCCAGCTCCACACCACTCTTACGTGAGGTACCAGGGTCCCCTACTCACCACTGGTTGTAGGGAAGGTACAGAGGCAGGTCGGGCTGCTGCTACTGGGGTCCCAGATGCGGACAGTGCCATCAGCAGAGCAGGAGGCCAGACGCTGGGAGGTGGGACTGAAGGCCAGGCCCCATACCGCATCCCCATGGCCCTCCAGGACGTGGCTCAGCACACTTGGGTCTGGACCCAGCGCAGGGAGGAAACAGGCTGCATCAGGCCTGCCAGCCCCACCCCAGACAGTCCAGAGCTCCAGCTATGCCAAGACCTGGGCAGCTGGGCTTAAGCCTCCATTCACCCAGCTTCACCTCCAGAACCCTGGACTGCCTCCAGAGCTGTCAATACTGGTACAGGCCAGAAGCTGCTCACATTAACCACTAGCTTTTTGAGGAAGATTCTAGGGCTCCAGAGGGCAAGGACTTCCATCTGTTCATGGTTGTCTCCCTAGGGCCCAGAAACTGGGTGCTCCATACATAATTTTTAGGACTCAATTAAGGAAAGAAGGCGTTGGTTCTGCGGCCCCTGAGGATTGGCACACACCCACTATTCATTGCACTGGACCCATCCTTAGCCCAGTCTTTGCTGCCCATGCCTAATCTCTCTAAAGCTCTCTGGTTGCTCAGGGTCCTGCCATGGCCTCTATTCTGTGGTTACTGGAGTCCTTAGAGGTAACTTTAGCCTTAACCCTGCCAACACCCAAAGTGTGGCAGCTAACTTGGCTACATTGACCCTTGACCTCTTGTAGGCAGGATTCTAAGAACACGGGGGACAGATACTGAACAGAAGCTAGGAGTCTGGTCACTTCTCCACCTAACTTGTAAGTACCCCTTGACAAACCTTGGTTTCCTACAATCTGGCCACACTAACTCCATCTCCTCTACTCTCACCTCACATACTCCCTCCACTCAAGAACACAGAGACCCTGGCCAATCCCTACACAACGTGCAGATCCCTAGGCTCAGCTACCCCAGCCTCTGCCTTCTCTGAAACCAGCTCATGCTCATTCTCAGAGCAGCTGAACCATCTCCCACCACCATCACTCCCATCTCAGCCCGCCTGTCCCTCCAGAGTCACACACTAAATCACTGCGCCAGGCTGGAGCCCCCTCACGTACACTCCCAGCACCCCTGCAGTGGCAGGCAAGTGATGAACACAAAACATCGTGTGGAAGGAATGACCCCAGTGGGCAGGGGTGGAGGAAAAGAAGGCAGGGGGAGGTGTCCTCACCGTAGCCATCATAGGGGTCCATGTTGAGGTCTGGAATCTTCCAGCTATGGATGCAGGCATCTGCCCCACCACTGTAACAGTATTCACTATTGCTGCCCATGGCGACTGCTAACACAGGGCCCCTGAAGGGTACAAAGTTGGGTGAAGGGAAATGAGACAAGAAGTTCAAAACCTTTCTTGGCCGGCGCCCATCACTCAGTGGTTAGGGCACGGGCCACATACTCGGGGGCTGGTGGGTTCAAATCTGGCTCAGGCCTGCTAAACAAACAAACAACAAAAAAAAATAGCTGGGCATTGTGGCTGGTGCCTGTAGTCCCAGCTCTTCCAGAGCCTGAGGCAAAAGAATCGCTTGAACCCGAAAGTTTGAGGTTGCTGTGAGCTAAGACGCCATAGCACTCTACTGAGGAACCAAGTGAGACTGTCTCAAAAAACAAACAAAAAACACCCTTTCTTCGCCACAGGACCTTAAAGTTCTCTACTAGCATTTTTTGAAGATGGCCAAAAGGAATTCAGCCCCTAGGGCTCTGGCTGTGCCACCCAGGCAAGTTGCCTGTGCCCTGCCTTCTCTCAGCCCTCACCTCCATGTACTCTTCTAAGGACTAACCACCAGGGACACATTAAAGTTGACACATGGCCCCAGAGGCAGGGTGTGTTATGTGCAGAGGGTTGCAATGTGCAGGACAGGAGAGGCAAGGGGATTCAGCCTTCCTGTCACCCTGCCTCCTACCCCTGTCCTGCTGGATGGCAGTGAGCAGGTATAGAATCAGACTGCTATGTTTCTAGCAGGCTCTGAGAGCCTCCATACCTGTGAGCCCGGAAGGCGTGAATGGGTTCCACATCCAGTGCAGCATTCCTGTGAGGAGACAGAGGAGCCCACTGTCACTGAGAGACCTGTCATCCTCTCCCCAGGGGTGCCCGCCCCCCCACTCTGGAATTGTTGCCCTCACTTCTTGGCCGTGACTGCTTTCTGCAGGTTCCAGAGCTTGAGTGTGCCGTCCTCAGAGGCAGTGAGCAAAGCTGACTGGCTGTGGTGGAAAGCCAGGGAGCGGATGCCATCGTAGTGTGAGCGCAGGGTGAATTTAGGATTCCACGTCTTCTTAAAGGCATCTTTGCTGTCAGACAGCTGAGGGGGGCGGTGAGATGCCTCAGTGTCTCCTCATCATCCTGGCAGTCAGGCAGACACTGACACCTAGGACTTCAGGATCCCTCCCTTCCCCACCTAGATCACCCTGGCAGGAGGGAGGGTATGAGGGCATTAGGGCCTGCCAGCCAAGGAAGTAGGCCGCTCTAATGAGCCTTCTTTCCTGAGTCCTAACACCCTTGCAGCCTGTGCTCCACTTGGCAGGGCAGAATCCCCTCACTCACTCAGCAAATTCCCACAGTATGATAGGTTCTGAGGAGACAAAGGTAAGCCTGACTCCTTGGAGACCAGCAGTTCAGAGGAAGGGAACCCAGAGGAGATAATCAGATCATCCCACAAGTGCACAGAATTACAAACTATGAGGAATACTATGAATTAAAAATGCACTAGGAAGGCCAGGTGTGCTGCCTCAGGCCTGTAATCCTAGTACTCTGGAAGGCCAAGTCTGAGACCAGCCTGAGCAAAAGTGAGACCCTGTCTCTACTAAAAATAGAAAAACTAGCTGGGCATTGTGGCAGGTGCCTGTAGTCCCAGCTACTTGGGAGGCTGAGGCAGAAGGACAGCTTGACACCAAGAGTTTGAGGTTGCTGTGAGCTACGATGCTATGGTACTCTACTGAGAGCAACAAAGTGAGACTCTGTCTCTCCAAAATAAATAAGTAAATGAATAAATAAATAAATAAATAAATTAGAACAGAATATAAAAATGCACTAAGATAGGCCAGGTGCAGTGGCTCAGGCCTATAATCCTAGCACTCTGGAGGCTGAGGCAGGAGGATCCCTTTTCCTTACAAGTTTGAGACCAGCCTGATTAAGAGAAAAACCCAATCTCTACTAAAAATAGAAAAATCAGGTGGGCATCATGGCAGACACCTGTACTCCCAGCTACTCAGGAGACTGAGGCAGAAGGATTGCTCGAATCCAAGAGTTCAAGGTTGCTATGAGCTATGATGCCAGGGCACTTTAGCCCAGGCAACAGAATAAGACAAAAAAAAAAAAAAAAAGCATGAGGACACAAGGAGGAGATACTAGATACTAGACAGCCCAACCTCCTCTGTGGGGTCAATAAGGCTTTCCTGAGGAAGAGATAAGTGAGTAGGACTTAACAAATAAAGGAAGGGAGACAGGGAAGGTAGAACTGCATATGCAAAAGTCCTGAGGTAGGAAGTAGCAAGGGCGGGTCCAGGCCTGACAGGTCCACACTGCAGGAATACAGAAGTTGAGGAGGAGAGAGGCTAATGAGGCCTGGTGGGTGGCAAAAGCCAGAATGGTGAACTGCATCAAATCTGTGCTTCATCCTTGGAAAAAGCCTCAGAGAACTGGAGAGGCAGGGAAGGATTTAGAGCAGGGGAATGACATGGCTCCTTCTGACCAGACCATGGGGCACTCAGACCAGGGGCAGGTAAGAGTAGCTGCCAAGATAGAAGTTAAGAGATCATAAAGTCCCAGGGAAAGATGAGGACATTCACACCAGACACTTGACTGTGGAGGTAGAAACAAGAACACAAGTGCAGAGATGGCAAGAATAGAATTAACAGGCCTGGTAGAGACACTAAAACATGCCCTGATGGACGATGGTACCACCCACCAAGTGGGGGACCCAGCAAAGCCAGGCTTAGGAAAGCCAACAATGAGATTGCCAGGTGAGCCTCAGAGCCACGCCCTAAGACAATTCATATCTGAAGAACCCTCTACCCAGCTCAAGGTCCCCATCTTAGCTGTCACTTTTGCTACAGTTTTTTAGAGCCAGAGGATCTGCTGTCTTGTGGTTCCCCTGCTCCCTCCCCCCCTCAGTGTGGCAGAGTTCTTAGGACAAGCAGAAGGGCCCTAGAACACATTCCTTGGCACTTTCTGCAGTTCAGGCCTGCACTGTGGCCTCCCTCTCTGCGCCCACAGCAGTGCCCCAGCCTCACTAGGATCACCAACACCTGAGAGCCTGTCCTGCCATGGGAAACGCAAACGCGCACCCAAGGTGGAGGTTCCCAGATGGCCAGAGGTCTTTCCAGATCTCAGGCTCAGAGCATTTCATTCCAGCCTGCTGGCCCCATTCACAGCAGATTGGCTTAAGGCCATCTTCCTGCATCCCCAAATGCCTATGGGTGCTAGGGAGCACTGAGTGAAGGAATCTGGCACATGCTTGAGACAGGCTCTGGAGTCTTCTAGGCCCTGCTCCTTAGTGACCATGGTCATGTCCCTCCACCTGCCTGTACCCCTCTGTAAAACTGAGCAGGAGAAGCCAACTCCTAGGGCTGTGGAATGACCTCTGAGCACAGAACCCAGTCAGAGCTCTGGGCATGATGTCCACTGGGGGCCAGATGGGGGCACCTGGAAAACTTACATCACAGCTGAGGTCGTTGTCGTTGGTGACGGTGAGATCTGCCAAGTCCCCCAGGCTCACCTCCCCGCCCCCGATAGTGTCCATGATGAAAACGTCTGAGGAGAAGCCAAAGGAACCTGGTAGGGGGAGGGGAAGGGAGGGGCAGGGAGGGCCAGGGAGAGAGAGAACGAAAGAAAGAGGCAGAGAGAAAGATAAGGAACAAGAAAGAGAGACAGGGAATGGGCAAGACCAAGAATCACAGCTGGAAAGGAGGAGACAGAGAGAAACAGACAGGGCAGGACAGACAAAAAGAGGGAGACAGAGACAGACAGACGAACTTTTGGGACAGGGAGGCTGCAAACTGGAGGCTGGGCCTCGACCCCTGAGGACACAGAAGCCCTGGGCTTAGCTCTGCAGCCTCCCTCTGCTGCGGGCCCACAAGTCTGGGCCAGGGCACAGGGGGCTTCTTACCTTCGTGTGGCCGGGGCTGGGGTGTGCCTGGAGGTGGGCCAGTCACTTTAGGGGGCAGCCCATCCACATCCCGGAGGTCAGCCAGGATGCCCTGGAGCTTGACCCGCCGGCTTTCTGCAGGGACAAGGCACAGAGCAGGAGTTGCCCACCAGGTTCCAACCTAGCCTCACACAGGAGATGCCCTCCCTACCACTGGAGGCTTTCCTATGACTGTGGGCAGCTATGTAGCTCTGGGTCCAGATGGCAGACGTAGAGGAGACAGAGGCTGACTAGGACCCTCGGGGAGGCAGTAGGCAGGTTGCAGTGGCCTTTGCCATGCATCCCACATGACCCCCAAGGGCCCTCCCAGCCAGGACTCACAGGACAGGGAGGAAGACGCAGTCCTGCCCCACCTGCCTCTCCCCCACTGGGTCCTCATCCTGTTCCTTCCTTGAGGTCAGCCAAAATTGGATGTGGGCCTGCCTGTGTCCCAAAGGGGATTTTCCAGGGAAGGGATGAGGGACCCAGCCACTACAGGTTGGGCCTCCTGCTCTCCTTGGCCACTCTCCTCTCAGGAAGTATATCCGTCCGGTGTAGAGACCCGGGGACAGGAAGCAGCTGCAGGCAGCTTTGTGCGGAAGGGGCAGGACCTAGGGTCTGGCCCTACTGCCCTCATGGCTAGAGAATCCTCAACTCACCCAGCTCATGGGGGTTCCCATCTGTAGTACAACGCCGAGGGTCTGGAGACCCTTCCCCGTCCTCTCCTGAGCCCAGGAAATCAAACTCATTGATGGCATCCTCAGAGTCATCCTCCTCATCCTCATCTTCCATTTCAGGCACCAGGGCCTTAGATGGGAGCTGGGACATGGAGAAGCAGACAGGTCAGGGAGAGATTAAGTATCTAAGTATCTAAGAACAGACAAGCCAGGATTCCCAGCCTTCTGCTTGTCCCTTCAGAAGGGACTGTCTTAGCTGCCAAGTGGCTATCCTGCACCATCTGCTGTGCCCATGCGCTCTCCCTAACCCACCTTCAGCCACTGCTTGTCACTAGGGGTAGGGGTGGGCCCCTTACACTCACACAGCCCCTCCTCCTGGTCTGTGCTGAGCCGGCCCCACAGCGCAGTGGCTTGCAGGAAAAGGGAGCACAGCAATGGGCTTGCAGGGGGAGCAGTGTGAATGAATGAGGTGCTCAGCTACATATAACAGCCTCAGCATTTTCCCCCATGAGTACAGCAGGAATGATAGAATGAACGCTCACCAAACACTGCCCCAGCTCCTGTGCTCACACAAGAACAAATCACACTCCCTGCATGGGCACTGAATAAGCTCCACATACATGGCTTCAGTGAACCCCCACCTGTGGACTGTGATGGATGCAATTACTCTTCCCATATCACAGGCAAGGAAACGGAGGCCGAATAGAGTGAAGCCACTTGCCCCAAGTCACCCAATCTGAACTCTGCCCATAGCCTGGGCAGCCTTAGCCAACTAAGAACTCCTCTAGATCTGGCTACCACTCTACCATGGACTGTGCAGGCAGGAACAGGGGAGCACACGTGAAGGCCCTGACAGCAGGAAAGACCAAGGTGCTCTGCAGGGTACTGAGGCACAGCCTGCTGCAAAAGGAGCTGGGACTCAGGGAAGGGCTGCAATCGTGCCACACCTGGACCAGAAAAGGATGTGTAGAGGGAGGAGCTCACCTTCACACGCTGCTTCTTATGCTGCACACTGTCCAGATCGTCATCCTCATCACTGTCTTCATCCTCACAGTTCTGCAGAAAGGGAATCTGCTCCAACACCGAGCCACCCAAGCGTTCCTTGCCATCTTTGCCAGCCGCATTCCTGCCCATGACAAGGAAGGGGAGAGGGGGCTTTAGTCCTGCCAGGTGTCAAAGCTCAGAAGGGAAGGCACCAGCCCAGGCATGATGGCCAAAGTCTGATCCAGCTATATACCTAAGCCCCATGTAGCCTTGATGATGATCATACACAGTGCCTCATCTCTAGTCTCTGCCTCACAGACACTCATTCCAACGAGAACCTCATTCTGACCAAACCTAGCTCCTGCTCCTGCTCCACACTGAACACCCATCCAAGTTCAAGAGGATGCCCCTAACCCTGACCCAACAGCTCCCTCATGTGGTGAGTCAGAGGGAAGCTGGAGACAGTGCCACTGATTTGACACCCTCATTCCCTGAGCCTGGTCAGACCCCAGGGGCAGGTTAGGCAAAGGACAGATATGCCCATCAGGAAAGAGGAACCTGGCTCTCTATAATTGCTCAGAGACCCACAGCCAGCTCGGCTGTGGACAGTAGGGGCACCAGTGCTCCATGGTCCCTGCTCCAAAAAAGCCTGAACCATCTCCAGCGACAGATGGCACTCCTACTTCTACCTCCCAGTTTCCACACGATGCCAAGTTTTGGCAGGGGAGGGTTTTACCAAACCTCCCTGCCAAACCTGCCAAACCTGACTCTACAGGAAGAGCAGGGTGGAATTCCAAGTTCAGGTAAATGTAAATACCTTCCTATTTGCCATTAGGGTGATGCTCCAGAGAGTTCTTGGACATTGCCCAGCTTTACAGTTATCACTTGGTGGAGAGATCACTGCAGTTTTACCCTTACTTGGCTCCAGGCTATCATACCCACAACTCACTTTGGAGACATCTTCTCATTCTCATGGGTTTTTCTCCCACAATACTGGCTGTGCCAGCAAAGGCCAGCTCAGCCTCCCTTCCAGCTTCCTCCCCTACTCCTCCATCTATCCTCTAAGGGAGGAAGAGGGAGACTCCAGGGCTCAGGCCTTGGATTTCTTCTCTGCATCATCTATACTCACTCCCTCAGTCACTGCAGATGGCCCATGGCTCTCAAGAAATGCCCACATTGGGCGGTGCCTGTGGCTCAGTGGGTAGGGTGCCAGCCCTATATACCAAGGGTGAAAGGTTCGAACCCAGCCCCGGCCAGCTAAAACAGCAGTAACAACTGCAACAAAAATAGCAAGGCATTGTGGTAGGTGCCTGTAGTCCCAGCAGTCCTGGAGGCTAAGGCAAGAATATCACCCTAGCCTAAGAGGTGGAGGTTGCTGTGAGCTGTGATGCCATGGTACTCTACTGAGGGCGACAAAGTAAGACTCTGTCTCTAAAAAAAAAATAAAAGAAATGCCCACATGCTAGGGATCTAGAGTGAGGCTCTATGACCTGCTCTGAGACTGCCACCTTTCCATAGCCCACAGCCCATACGCTCATTTCCTACAGCCATGTGGGCTTTCCACTGCTGCCTCCTACTTCAGGCCCTTTGCATTTGCTGTTCCCTCTGCCTAGAACATTCTCCTCCTCCCAGCCACTCATGTGGCTCATCCTCCATTTTGTGCAATGTTTAGCCCAAATGTCCATGGTAGCGTTACCTCTCCTATGAGTTTTTATTATCTTTTATATTCCTCAAAGCACTCAGCATTACCTACATGATTTTGTTTATTCTGATGAATTTGTAATTAATGATGAGACTAGAAAATGAGCAAAGAAGACCCCCTAGGGCAGCAACCACATGTGTTTTGCTCCCCACTGGCAAGTCAGCCTTCAGCAGGCGTCCCGTGTTGCAAAGGAGGTGCAGGTCTGAGTCTTGGGAGAGGAGCAGCCTGGAAATGAGGCCCTGGGAGTGTGGAGGGGCACTCAAAACATAATTTATGGGATCCAAGCAATGAAGGGACAGAGAGTTCCGGAACAAATGAGCCCACATTATATTCCAGAAGGAGAAGGTGCCACCAGAGCACCCAGGAGCATCATCAGGAGAGGAGATGATACACCTGCTAGGCCCAAGGGCTCACCTCTTTATCTGCTCCTCGATCTGTTTCACCAGGAGTGACTCACCACCACTGAGCCCCACAGGGCCTGGAGTGGCCCTGGGGCCTCCTTCACTAGGCTCTGTGGCCCCATTGAGTTCCAGTGAGCGGCCCAACAGGGAACGGACTCGCTTGGACCGCATGTCGAGGATAGTGTCTGTGTAGCCTACCTCTTCCAGGTACCTGCAGGGAGACAGAGCCAATTCGAGTCAAAACCCCTCGGCTTCTTCATATACAATGCAAACTGCAACAACCTGGCGCCGGGCAACTTATGGGTGAACTTAAGAGCATATACCAAAATTTTACATAAGCATGCCCCCAATGTAGCACTTTCACTTTTGAGACCCCTTGCAGTGGAAGTCCTCACACCTATGCACAATGCTATCTCACAAGGATGTCCCTTGCAGTGTCCCATGGGGACTCAAAGTGCAGGGCCAACCTCAACATCCACTGACAGGGACATATCAGCAAATTACTGATAGATACACTAGGCAGAAAATAAACATGGCAGAGTGTCAAAGAAAGCCGCCATGATAAAGATCATAATGAAACAGTAAGTTACATGTTCCTCAGGGATCCAGTGTTTGTTTAAAAAGAAAAAAAAGCATTAACAGGTATATAAGTTTACATCACATAGAAGCACAAGCTTATATTACGTGCACCACAAGGCCTAGAAATATACACGAAACTTAATAGCAGTGACCTCTAGAAAATGGGATTAGGAATCTAAGAGGAACACCTGATACTCACTCTACTGACTCCTACAAATGAAGGAAATCTAAAAAGGAAGAAAAGTGCCTGTAGTCCCAGCTACTAGGGAGGCTGAGGCAGGAGGGTCCCTTGAGTCCAGGAGTTTGAGGTTGCTATGAGCTATGATGCCACACATAGCACTTTGGCCTAGGGAACAGAGTGAGCCTTTGCCTCAAAAAAAAAAAAAAAAAAAAAAAAATCAATCATAGGTATCTGTGGCTTCAAAAGAGAGGAGACAAAAGTTCCTTGCTAGTGCTCAAGAACCTGCTTGGCTAAAAATTCTTTTCTGTTCCCCTGTCCCTTTGGAGCCCTGTCCCTCACCTATCAAGCTGCACAGATATTCTTTGCATGTCTCATCTTTTTTTTTTTTTTTTTT